TTGAATAAATAAACTTTGCACCTGATTTTAAAAAACAATATTTAAACATCTGATTTTTTGTAATTTCCCCCTAAATAATATCATGAGTAAATTTATCCCTGGGCAGACAAGAAAAATAAAATCGTTCAAAAACAAAATCATAACGTTGACTAATGATATTTATCCATTTCAACTAACAATTAGAGGGAACAGTTTACACTTCAACCAACACTCTCCACATGTTTATCCCAATTTCTATAGTGAAACTGATTGGACGTTTTAGACTTTAATACACTATTGAGATTTGAGAATGCAAGACTTGTATTTTTTTATTTTTTTTAACACATCGCTTCTTCAACATATGTATAATGATTTATATACACATTATGTAGTAATATATAATTGTGTCAAAAAAATCTCAAATCAATTAAAAAAACACTTGTCTAGTCTTTTTTTGACACATCGTCTGTATGTAAACCATTATATAATACCATTGTGTAACTCCATCATGTACAAATAACATTATTCTTAACACATTTATCATTGAGAAAACAGTGTTGATTAGACGAAGATTAGATTTATACGAGTATGTATTTAGCATCCATCTGGAAACATTTAAATATAAATTGATTTATTATCTGAGCACTTATTAACCGTAAATTGCATATTTGTATGCTACAGGATGATATAGGTGTCAGTTGTCATTTGGAATGTTAAATGATCAGTCAAGTTGTTCGATTCGTCCACTTTCGATTTCGACTAGGTCCATCACAGGAGCTAACACGCCCTCGGATATGGGACAAGCTGAGTGAAAGATGGCTCGCTTTAAAAAATATCAGCTTGACTCATTCAACCATTGGCCCCTTTGTGGGACTAGCTGAGCTGGCTCGTGCAATTTCACTTTCTTATTGCAAATTGTTTGAACGATACTTTTTCTATTCAACTCGTGTAGAAGGCTCGTTTTTGGGGCTGCTCATCTCGTTAAACATTTCTTATAGTTGATAAACATTTTTCAAAATTTGGACCGAACTGAAATATGAAACTCTTTTAAGTTTTTTTGTTTGGACAACTCTGCCACTATGAGTAATCTCTTCTATAGAAAATTGGTAAACTTGGGTTATGGGTAAAGGGGCAAACATGGTACGTAAATGGAAAATTCTATTTTGGTACCATCAAAGCTTGTCAGGGATCAGGGCCCTTGTTTGAGCACATTTTTTTTCTGTTAAAATGAGTTTTATAATAATGATTTACGTAGGTAAAAATAGAGAATTTTTTTAAATTTATGTGTACATTATTTTATTGGTAGAATGTATTTTAAAATGAGTATGAAAAACAAATAAGTTATTTGATAATACTGTTGGAAAATTCTAACATATCTGGGGCCACACGTAATAAATTAAAATGTGTGGTGCTATTATTTAAAAAATATTAGTTAATTAAAGTGATCCGTTAAAACTGTATTTGAATAATGGGTATTAGGTTTCATGAAAATATAGTGTAGAGACCAGAATATTGTTTTAAATTGATGATGAGTCAATTCGAAACAATTGAAAGATAATGACTATTCAATTATCGTTATTTTATATGGTTATGATCCCCACTTTGATAGTGTTTTTCAGATTCTCTGCATCCCCATCAATATAGAGTGAAATTAAAGAGAAGATCACCAATCAATTAGAAGATCGTAACCCATTTAGACAAACAATCAAACAACATGGATCAATGTATGTTTGTATTTTGTTAGTTTCTCTGGTTTCAACGCGGAGTATTATTTAGGGTTTATATGACAAAATGATTTGATTAAAGCATTTGAATCTATAATCCATTTTCTATTTTGTACCAAGTGGTATCAGAGCCACTCCATGGTTGATTCTTGACAAATTGAAGTTTTAAAATTCTGAATTTTTTGAATTTCGAGTTATTATTATATGGAGTTGGTATAATGTTCCTGTTTTTTCCTTCATGATTAAAGTTTTTCTTCATAAAATTTGAATTTTAAAAAGATGAATTTTCAGATCTGTTAATATATATAAAAAAATAATAATAATTTCGGCAATCGCTGCCGCCGACACTAGCAGCGTGGGCTGCCGCTACTGGACGCCGCACTCAGCGTCGCCAAGGGAGAGGGAGATGAGGGGCTCCCATTAGGGTTTCAGTTTGGAATTTGAGGGGACGGGGGCTTAGGCTTCAAATTAGATAATTTGAGGCCCCTGCTTGCAATTTAAAATTAGGGTTAAATTTTATGAATCTGTCCCTAAAGTTTAAAGTTAATCTTAATTGGGTCTTAATGTTATGAGTCTTAATAATTCAGCTCATATATGTTCATAATTGGTTTAAATTGCCTTTCAAGTTTTGAATTAATTAATTTTGACCCCTAAAGTATTGAATTATTAATCATTGGGCCCTTAAAGTTTCAAGATAAATAAAATTAAATATTCTGTTTTTCAAATTTTGGTATAAAGGCCTCATTTGAGAATATAATATTCAAA